AAAGTTAGGGGCCAAGCATCAACTGGAGGCAGCTTGGCAAAGTTTGAAAAACTCACCAGGCCACTAAAAAAAAAAATCCAACTTGGCCAAAAATTTGCCATGATCTCACTTTTTTTTTTTTTAAATGAACAGCTGTCCTGATACTAATCCTGCGTCTGTCCATAATCTCTTTTCATGAGACTGGAGGGAACATGTCAGGAGCCTAAAGCAAATATGCTGTCACTGAAGCCCAGGGTTCTATCGCGATTGTCCTCTGTCTCCACGGCCAGATGTAAGCCTGAGTGTGCCATGTTCACAGCTGGGCCCCTGGCACGGCACGGGGCACAAGCAAGCACTTGGTGCCGATCGGCGTGGCTGCAAGCATGAGAATGGGAAGGGGAGAGTAGATCTGTGAAATTGTGTACCTTCTAACAAAGGTTAGAGAAAAAAATACGGCCAACTTGGAATTCCATCTTATAGACATGGGCTAGTCATTAAACAGAACCACCAGACATTCAGTTTTAAGAAATTGCCTCTTGACCCTCCAGTATCCTATCAGGAAGGGCACGTGAGAGATACGTGCTGCATTCTTTTCCTGAATCGTAGGACCAGGACTAGAAGGAACTTTAGAGCAAAGCTGCCTACTCAATGCAAGCTTTGTACAAAACCAGGTCAAGTGGTTTTTCCAGCCTCTGGACATTATGAAAGAAACCACTTCTTCTCAGGACCTTTTTGCTTCGGGTGTTAGGATTTGCTGTCGTAAATCATCTGCTCAAGAAATAGTTGAGCACCTACTATGTGCCAGGCTCCGGGAGAACGACAGTGGGACTGACCTTGTCCAGATCTCATGGCACTCTCAGACTCTCCACCCAGGCTCTGCTGCTCCAGCGGCACACAGCAAATGGGCTCTGAGGAAGTATGCCCCATGTGGAGGTGATTCCAGTAAAGGCTGCTTCACAAGAGAGGGTGACATAGCTGAATCCATGGGTCAGCAACCAACAGCCAAACACATCTGCCCAGCTTGAGGGTACAGCAGCAGGACAGCCTCAAGGAAACCCGGATAGAGGAGAGGATGTGAGGACAGGGGAGCAACCCCGACTTGGAGTTGGGAGCCCAGGTTCCCATCCCAAAGGAGTTCACTCACCCGAAGGTTAGCTAGCCAGCTAGGCAAGCAAGGATGTAATCCTATGGACAATAAAATGGACAAGGACAAGCTGTAGCACCCAAAAATGTGAGCACACTCAGGGCACACTCGGGGCAAACTTCTTTCCAGGGATCTGTCTGGTACTACGTTCACTCTCCACAAGAGTCTTCCCAGCCGGCAGGCACACAGAAATGATTCCACCGAGGTGGGTTGCCTGAAATGTTGTGTCTTCCCACAACTCTTGTCTACTCCAAATAATGCCACATTCTGGGTGGCTGAACAAGTGAATCTAGACAGGAAGCAGGTTGATTCCAGGAGGTCTTGAAGGCCCCCAGATACACGTCCTAGAAGGGCTTCTGGTAGGGTGGGAATTTTTATTGCCCTGGAATAGAAAGCCTGGGAGAAGAGATGGGGGTCTCGACATGAAGTCCAGTATCTTTTTCATGGCACTGTTTTATTCTGCCCTGTCCCGTATGGAAATCGGGTCATGGTTGGGTCATGCCGTATGGGGGTGGCAGTGGATTCCAGCTAAAACTGAGGTGTTCCTGCATTCCTGCTGGCCTTGACGGCACCCCACCCCCAAAGCCCCAGAGAAATTGCACCTGCCTGCTCACTCCGGGAACATGCCCAGCCCAGCCATGCCTGACAGTTTTGGGACACAGTAAGGAGCTGGCTGAGGCTCTGGGTCCCAAGCAAAAGATTGGGATGGGGGAGGGGGTGGTGAGGGAGGAAGAGGAAGGATTTCCGGATTACTTGACAAACATAAACCCAGGCCTGAGCTTCAGTCCCTGTTCTGAGGACGCAGGATCACAGCAGATCTCAGGTCCCTGTTTACTCCCACCATCTCCCCCACGCCTCTCTCTTTCTGTCCTCTCTTATCTGGTACCGATAAAGTGCGGGCTCTAAAGATGTGCGGTCAGTCATGAAGGCTGGGGCTACCAAAAAGCTTCTAGGAATGAATGACTCAGCCAAGGCTGAAAAGAGCCACATTGTCTAGATGCGTCCCTTTGCTCACACACATCTCACAAAGAAAGCACTTTTATGACCATTTTACCACCTCTGTTGACCCATGGAGCGAGGCTGCAGGCTTGGGATTCCTGCTGCTTCTGGTTTTCTGTCTCCACACACAAGCCGTCCATCCCTGGTTGGGATTCCTATGTTGTATCTCCTCCTCCATGAGACTTCTCAGCTATCTCCAAGGACCCTCATCAAAGCCCAAAGGTCAAAATCCCTACCTCAGGATCCCCATGTTTTGTTCTCCATGTCCTGACAAAATGACTTAAGGGGGACCAATGTGAGGTCTTTGTGGGTCCTACCTGAGGACCTTGGGTCAAGAAAAGGAGGATTAGCTTCTCATGCTGTGCTGGCCACATGGGCTGTTAATAAAGTCCACCACTCTTGAAGTCCCCTCCATTTTGGTCCCACCAGGCATCCCATTCCAGTCAGAGAGCTCCCAGACCACTCTCAGATATCTGGCTCGGACACACCTGTGCCGGCAGGTTTATGTAGTTAAGCTCCTAGAGAGCTTTCCGGGAGCATCCTATTTGCCAAGCAGCCTAATCTTCAAGACGTGCTCCCGGGCCACGGCTGAGACATTGCAGCATGTGGGACTATCTGATGTCCTTACAGACCCACCAGAGCGAAAACGGCCAGCAGCCGAGGTCAAGCATTACTGTTTAAACACCAACGGTGGAATTTGCAAATGGGTAAATACCATTTTGTGTGCAGGAGCCAAAGAATTTGTTCAAAAACAGCTACTCAGTATGTGTCAGGAGGAGGCCTTGGTTACAGAGCAACGGAGAAAGGGCAACAACATACGGATTCCGGTGTTTTGTAAACCGACCATGGCAGGGAGACTAAGGGAAACGGCTCTCCTGCCAAATAGAATAATTCCAGATGCCATGGGGATAAATTAGAGGCTGCCATCTGTGGAACATCAGAGAGAGCTAGTCTCTAGTCTCTAGCTCTCTTGTCCCCTTTTAGAGTTGGAAGTTTAATATGTTCAGAGGAACTGGAGATAGCCCAGGCCCCTCCAGCTTGGACAGGCCTATGAGCTTCCGTGAGGAGAATCCCCATTCTGTTCCATGCCCCACCTGCTCGGGTCAGATTTCAGCCCCCGGAAGGGCTGCACATCTGTTCTGGGAGCACCGGGAATCTCTCTCAGGTTCTCATGAACAAAGCTGGTGCCGCCAAGCATCCACTGGCCTCTGGCAGGCCCAGGGCAGTGGGATCCTGCATGCTGGGGTGTTGTGAAATCAAGAAACTCTCCCCCCTCCCTTTCTGTGCATACTCAGGGCTTTCTAGGGTTTTAGCAAAAGAGCCTTTTAGGAGGATTTTGACTCACTGCTCCCCACATCCATCACGCTCAGGGAGGTCTGGAGCAGAAGACAATCTAAGCAACAGGGATTACTGAGGATAACCCTCCCTCCCCCAATGTGGAGGATTTATGACTGGGTCCAGCTGGTCTTGTTGAACTGGGTCTTTCCTGCAGTGCTCATGTAAATGTAGTCACAGCTGGTCAAATCCCCGTGTGGTGGCTGGGCCTGTGAACCCCAGCTTGGGCTCGAACAGAGTCCCCCATTTCAAAAGGAATTAGGCTTTTTCTTTCTTAAAACTGTCTTAGGAGGCACTGTGGCTGGACTAGAGTCCCAGATACAAGCAATTTTCATCACAACGTAAGGTGTTAATAATGTCCTTCCACTCGTGCTTCTGTTGTTATAATAGGTTGAGAATTAACTCAGTCTAAACACTGTTACTTATAAAACCATCATTTTAATTTAGAGAATATACAGATACTTTTGTAAAAACTATTAAACACCAAAAAGAAAAAAAAATTAAAAAAAAAAAGTAACTGCTTTGCCCTCAAAGAGGGATTGGAAGAAATAATCTCAAAGCTCGATAAACTCTAACACTCAGTGTTAGACATTTGCTGAGACTAGCTTTGCTCATGAGAACCTGAGAGACATCCCTGTGCTTCCAGAACAGGCAAATCTACTCCCAAACTTACCCAAAATATACTCTGGCTTTAAACTCCCATGAAAGGAGAGAAGAGAGAAAAATTCTCATTGGGAGGAATTTACCACCTGCTTCCATGTCTATAAAGGATCCACGGACACGAAATACAGTCATTCACATTCACTGGAAATCACCTATATTTTTGCAAGAATTCATTCTGGCCAAGACCTGGCAACCCAGGAATGGGTCCAGGGCTCCTAATTTGTGAAGCTGTCCCAACGCTACTCACAGCAGCCAGAGGTGAGTGCCAAAATTTCTGCAAGATTCCTGAATGGAGAGAATGCATGTGTAGGGCAAACTTGACTTCTTCAAATGGCATTTATAGCAACTTGCCTCTACATGTCTGTTAGGGAAGCAAGATGTGTATCAACCGCTTCACGAATATAAATACAGAAATTCAGGTGAAGCTACCAATGGAGGCATGCTATAGTCAATAGATAAACCCCAGTCGTGACATCAGCTAGGTCTCCCTATCATAACCAGATTCCCCTTGCATCTAAAGACAAAGCCTGTCCGCTTTGAGACTAAGTTTAACATCACTTGCTTTGGGGCCAACTGGGAACTGCCCAGAGCACGGATGGACCAGTGCTAAGTGTGGTCTGACAAATTACAGCTGGGGTCCTGTACAGCTGGGGTCCCCTGCCAACTCGACTCCACAAGGCAAACCTTAAAGTAGTACAGGGGAGGAAATCCTCCGTTTCTCAGCAGGGGACACTCACGCCCCCACTGCTGCTTTGTAAACCCACCAAGGAGTAAACATCTCAATTCCAAGTTCAGGTGCCTGGTGGAGCAAGGTGGGCTCACTCAGAACACCAGCGTGCTAGTTTTGAAGCTAATGTATTCCTGACTTCAAGTCTATCCTTTCATCCAACGCTGAGATGTTCGCATTCAGGATTCTGCAAACCGCATTCCTGCTTTCCTCCCTGATAGCTTCTGCCCATAGGGGGTATGGGGCAGCGAGGGGGAGCTTTGAGGCTGGAAGGGGAGGAAGGAATTCTCTCCTGGTTTGCTTCCTGTTTACCCCTCTGCTGGCTTCCTGTCCCTGTCTGTTTCCACTGGCAACGCTTCTTGTTCTCTCAGGCAGGGTCAATTCCTTCCAGAAGGATTTGAGTCCAGTTTTTGGTTTTCTCAACCATCCCAGAATCAACCTCAGCCAATGAGCTTCCCCTCCACAGAGACTGAGATACCCTCCCCGCAGGAAATTTCCTCCAAGCTCAAGGACACCAGAACCCACTGAGGAGTATCCCCCACCCTGCCCAGTCTCAAAAATCTGAAATTCAGCCCACATGCCCACTCTCCAAGTGCCTAACTTTTAATAAGTCCAATATCTTGCCTTTGCTCCCCCAGCCTTGGGAAAACTGCTTCCTTGCAGGTGGCTACCTCCACTAATAGCATTGGGTTCTCATCCCACCTTTCCAGTTACCTGGTTAATAATTCTTTCTATTGGATTACCTCTGGTATAGTAACCGGTGTGGTTTCTGTGTCCTGCCTGGACTGGAACTCATTCATCCTCAGTTAGGTTCTAAGCATATATGGCAGGAACTGGGGCGTAGGGTTTCCCAACCCCATCTGACTGTCATGCTGGAGGGGGTATACCTGCCCACCCACGGCCCACATTCAGATCTGGTTTATCTCAGCCAACCTCTGCACAAGCAGGGACAAGTTCACATTTAAAGGACATAGGGAAATTTGCAGCACATGGAGCTTAATTACTGTATGATCTTGGTGGAGGGGTGGAGATGACTGCAGGGGCTCCCTGCTAAACACTTGAATGTTTCTCTTTGCTGACTAGAAGGGAGCTGTACGGAAGCAGCCTCATCATGGGTTTTCGAGAGAAGATGATCTTGTTATAGTTTGCAGTGGGATTTTCTCTGGAATCCGTATGGAAGTGCCTTGGCTCTGGCATAGCGGTTGGACCTGTGGCAGGTACGGAGTAGGAGCTCCACACTGATAACATGGTCTCTGACCTCATGTCCTTCAACATGAAGTTTCCAGGGCCCTTAGATGACTTTTTCCTTTTCAGCTGCGTGATGCTGGCCAGCTTGTTCTGCCTCAATGTCCGTTGGCTTTCCTCGAGTGCCTGCGTGCATTCCAGATCTCTAGCTTTGCTTTTCTCAATGAGTCTCTTCACCATCGGGGACATATATGTCACATAGGCTGGCCAAGGATTGTGTTTCTCAAGCACACACAGAGGAAGCCCGATGTTCTCTGTGAGTTCTACCAGCAAAGAGAAAGACAGGTGATTTACAGGAGCTTGTCTACAATAATCCAGTTCTTCGAAGAACTGGAGGGTATTGGGACCATGTTTTGAACTTTTCCCCATCATGCATAATTGGTCTTATGCCCCTTGTATTCAGTGAGAATAAAATCAAAGCCAAAGATGGGAGATTGAATGACATTCCATGGGGTATATCAATTAAAAAACAGCATGGTGGTAAAGGGTGGGGACTTGGGAGTCCAGCAGGCTGGCCTTCAGACCTTTGTATAAGGCTTTAGACCTTCTATTTCTTTTCCACCAACAAAAGTTGTTACCAAGAGACCACTGTAAGGATTAAATAAAGCAATATGTTTTAAGGGCTTGGAATGGTTCAGCTTAGGGCCTGAAAACATGGGCTCTGCGATTAGACTGGTTGAGCCCAAATTCCTTCTATACCCATGCAATCCCTATGAACCTGAGGAACCCCTTAGCCTTTTTAAACCTTAGTTGCTTTTGGTGCAAAATCATGGTTAGAATATAATCAATTTCATAGAGCCTTTTGTGGGTTAAAGGAAATGTAAAGCTTTTCGCACAGTACCTGGCACATAATAATCAGTAAATGGTAACTATGAACATTTTGGCTATGTCTCCTCTCCTGTACTATTTTGTTTAATCCCCCAGTTAACTGAGGATGAGCTCGAGGCCAACTAGCTTGCATAACTAGTGAACGGTGGGTTTGAACTCAAATCTAATGTGCTCAGAAATCTATAAGCTTTTCACTATAGTGCTGGCCAGAAGTTTTGAGTATTTGGGGTAGGGAGGCTTTCTTAGAAAATTCTACTTATGAGTTTAACAAGCTTCTTCCTTTGTAGATACCAAATCATGGGAAGGTCATTCCCTCCCCCTTCCCTCCACAACTTCACTCTGTCTAGCAGAAATGCCTCATGATTTCTCTCCCGATGGTACTACATTCCTTGTTTTCTCAAATGTTTTCTCAAATGGTCATTTCAATAGGGGTTTGGGAGGCAAGGAAGTTAAAAGGTTGATCTTGCCATCTTCAATGTAAATTCCATGAAAAACACTATCATTGGGCATAATCAGAGAAAATACAGATCATACAGTTATTCCCAGGCTGCCTTGTGGATGTTCGGGAGCTGGAGCTCATCTAGGGACAGATCTGTCAGTAAAGAATGTGTTGTGAAAGGCTTCATTTCCCTGCAAAAGTTGTATATTATTCTGCCTAAGGCAAGGTGTGTGACATCACCTCTCACTAAAAAAAAAAAAAAAAAAAGCGCACATCGAAGCTTCCAAATGCAGACTTGATGGTTCATCTTCATCTCCTCCAAGCAAACCCAAAATGCCAAGATCTCAGGGTGCCTGGATAGCTCAGTCAGTAGAGTATGCACGTGACTCTTGGCCTAGGGGTTGTGAGTTCAAGCCCCACGTTGGCTCCATGGAGATTACTTAAAAATAAAGTTTAAGGGGCGCCTGGGTGGCTCAGTGGGTTAAAGCCTCTGCCTTCAGCTCAGGTCATGATCTCAGGGTCCTCAGATCAAGCCCCACATCAGGCTCTCCGGTCAGCAGGGAGCCTGCTTCCCCCTCTCTCTCTGCCTGCCTCTCTGCCTACTTGTGATTTCTGTCTGTCAAATAAATAAATAAAATCTTAAAAAAATAAATAAATAAAGTTTTTTTAAAAATACAAAGTATCTTGCAGGTTGAGGCATTTTCTTGTATCTGGCAGAGGTGAAACTATATTTGCCTGGAACAAAATGAGCAACAAGTCCTCCTTCATGCCCCCGGCATGCTGTATACTTTCTACCTGCATAACAAGAGTGCCGCCCTGAGCCCCACCTCTATGTCTCCCCACCCCAGATCTCTCAGCTTTAGCTCGCAGCTCACAGCAGGAGCTCCCATTGCTAAGGTCCCAAGCCCTACCTTCTTCTGTCTTTATCTTTCGTGCATCGATCACCTCCATCACTAAAGAGTTCTTCACATCGAAGGCCCAAAGACCTTGGGAAAAATAACACTTGTTAGCCAGGGCTAGCACAGAGTGAACGGAGAGAAGAGGACGCCCTTTCCACGGAGCTGGGGAGGGGCTACGTGGGCTCAACACAAGAGGTCAAAGTAAACATCATTTTATCTACCAGCGTCCACGCATGGTCATGTTGCTGGGCCAAGTTTCTGTCTCCTGGCTGCACTTCTCAGCCAGCATTTCGGGGAAGGTGGTCACACCTGTGGGCAGTTTGATGGGAAGTGTGGCCTAGTGGTTCTCAAACTGTAGGATGCACCTATCTAGAGGGCTTTTTTAAAACCTAGGGTGCAGAGCCCCACCTCCAGAGTTCCTGATTCAACCATCAACGTTCTAAATCATTAGCGGGGAGGGAAATGCTGACCATCTGTGAGGTTTTATTATTAACCCCTAGTGACAGGAAACAGGTCCAGGAGATCTCTGTAGGTCCTTTCCAGTTCTAAGACTGGAAAATGTGCATCTGGGAATTTTTAGCCAAGAATTCGTTATTTTGTAAGTTCTGTCTGGCCATCTCTGTGGACCTTGAACATTTGAAATGCCATGGAACATTTCTACCAACATCTGTGAATGTCCAGTGAAGAAAGTCTCAGATGGTTTTTCCTAAGTTCCCAGGTGATGCTGGTGCTATGGGTCAGGAGATCACACTTGGAGAACCTCCAGTCTAGAGCAGTGCTTCTCAAACTTTAGTGAACACTAACATTGCCTGGAGAGCTTGTTCAAGCAGACACCTGGGCCCGCCCACCCTGCGACTCTGACTCAGCAGATCTGCTTGGGAGACCTGGGAATGTGCATTTCCAAGAAGCTCCCAGGGGAAGCTGCTGGTCTGATTCTGACTCAGTAGATCTGCTTGGGAGACCTGGGAATGTGCATTTCCAAGAAGCTCCCGGGGAGGCTGCTGGTCTGAGAACCACACACTGAGTAACGCTGCTTTAACTGAATAATGATCCCACGCGTTTCTTTCCGCTGCAGCATCTGCAGGGGTTGACCTGCTGGTGTGTGAAACATTCCCCTGAGATAAGCAAATTCCCAGGTTTTCCACCTATTTTTTTCCTCCTAACCAAGGAAGTATGTTACTTACATGGCCAACCTTAAATCCCACTATATTTCTAAAGTAAGTTATTCCCAATGTCAGCATTTTATTATAACACACTTAATAAAGGATAGCACATCCTAAACATTTATTCATACTCTTTTTTAAAAAAAAGTTATTTTTTGTCAAACCTGCTCAGATCCAGGCCTTATGAAGTCCCTACTGTTCTGTCTTAGTGGCAATCTTTCATGACAACACATTTTTAGGAGAATGCACAGTATCATTTTTCTGAGGTTAGAGAAGAATAATGTTCACATGGACCTCTAGCCTACAGCTTCAGGTAATAATGAACAACAAAAAAAGAAAGTTCTATATCTCCTTCGAAGGCCCACCATGGATCTCAGGATTGCAGACCACTCATCCCAAGTCCCCAGTAATGAAGAGATTGTCACCCCAGGGCTCACCCAGCACGTCTGTTCACCTCCAAAGGAAGAGATTTCTTGACTTATCTGCCATGCGGCAGAACTTTTGGAAATGTATGATAGGATTCATCCATCATACCAGATGATGGGGAAATGTTTTGAATTCATGATATTTGGGGGGTTTGGATAAGGACTTTTATCCTTGCATCTAAGTTTCTGGCTAATAAACCCCAAAGCCTCAAAGAGGCTCAGTTCTTAGCAAACCGTTTGTTTCAATGACCACGTGCAATCATATAACCCAACATCTTGCCCAAAGCCTCTCACCATATCTCACGGGACCCCCTACAATAGTCTTCTGTGGCTCATAAACAATCCTACAGAATAGTAGGTTTTTGCTATACCTGCTGATGCAGGAACCAGGAAACTACAACCCCAAGGCAGGGAATGTTTGAGATGGCCTCAGAACTCATGGGGAGGACTTGTTTGTTTGAAAATAAAGGAGAAAAATAGTTGACATTAAGTCTGAAGACAAGCTGTGGGCTTTTATAATTTCCTTCAACTCTGGCACAAAGGTTCCATTTTTGTCTCCCTATAAATGAAATGCAAACCAGCAGTCTACAGACAGAAACAGCATTGATGGGAGGGGCAGGAGGCATAACATTGAAGTGGGTTTCTTGTTTCTCCTACAGGCACAAAGGCTTATGTTCAATCCACTGGGTTTTCAAGCCCAGCCCTTCCCACCCCAACCCATCTCTTGTCCCACCATTTCCAGAACCTCATCTGATATGCTGCACTTGGCTTAAATAAATTCAAAGGAGTGACACTTACCTAGAATCTGTCACAGATTTGTGACCCTGATTGTGTTCCTTAACGTCTTAGACCTCCGTTATCTCTCTGCTCTGTTCCTCTCACAGAGGTTATGGTTGTTATAATAAACTGTCCAGAAACTAAAGTGCTTCTAAACCAGCAGTCCTCCAACTTTACTGCGTATTGGAATTACCGGGGATCTTTTAAAAATTCATATGTCTGGTTCCCACCTGCAGCACTGTGATTTAGTTGGAATGGAATGGAATGGAATGGAATGGAATACAGCCATCAGAATTTAAAAGCTTGGTTCTAGTGTGCAGCAAAGTTGGGAACCGCTGTTCTAGGAACCAATCAAGAAACACTGACGATTTGTAGGGTATTCATTACTTAGAAATAAGAAACAGGTTTGGGGGATCATTTAGTCCTTTTGCAATTTTAAGACCTACTTTCATTGAAGGATCCTTGGATATATATGTATAAATATACATGGTACTAAATATCAGTGGCCTTTAAACATTTAAAAGTGCATTTCCACTACTACCTGCCAATACCAGAATTTATTTGGATCAAAGGACAGCCAGAGCCTTTAAGTACTGAGCTAAGAAAACTGGCTATGGATAGCATTCTCATCCAAAGCTAATCTCACCCTCTGTCTGTGGCCACAAGCTGCATCCTTATCTCAGGAAACCATCTTGCAAAGGGATTTTGTGGATTCCAAGCAGGACTGATGGATGAGTGCATTGACACAAGTCAACCCCACTCAGACTTTCTAGCCCACTAATGCTGTAGAAGTAATGCTATTTGCATGCTCATGATGCGCAAAACATTATCTTAATCCAGTGTTTCCTAAACGATGTCCCATAGAATGCAAGAATCTCTCAAGACATTAATTGGTGTTACTTAAAGAGTGGGGAAATAGAGCCACCCTGTAAGGCTACGTAGATTGTTTAATCCAGGGGACAGAGCAGGCATGCCTCAGTCAAGAAAGTTTGAAGAATGATCTGTTCAATAAATTCCTTTAGTGCAGGACTTCTCAAGAGCCTGTAATATGCTACCTTGCTCTTTTACCTTCCAAAAGGGACATCGCTATGCAATACCCCCTCATCTCATTTGACCAGAACCTCATCCATCCACCCACCCATCCAAACACTGGATGGAGCATATCATGGAACTAGTAACCAGTAAACATTTGTATGGATTCTAAAGCAATGTCCTTCTGCATCCTTGTTTTGGAACTCTGAGCATCAGACACAGTGATAACATAAGAGGATGGAAGGATGAACTTGCTCAAGGTATAGCCAGATCTTCAATGACTCACTTCCTCTGAAATCAGCCTCAGAAACTCAGTCCTGCAAAGGAGTCCACACCAAGAACAAGCCAACATGAGAGCCTTGTGCTCCATTGGAAACTAGACCTCTTTTCCTCTTTTCAGCCTATCTCCTCTCTCCCCTGCTCCACGCTGCAGGCATCTCATCTTGCTTACTTCTCATCTCCCACTCTTCTCCATGAGCCACACCTAAGAGTCGTGTCTGGCCCAGAAGGAGAACAAATTCCAAAACAGGAAACTGATGTGGGGTGTTGTTTCACCTCTGCCTGCTATCTACCCCCACACCTCACACATCCTCCCCTGCCCTCTGTTTCCTTTTCTGCCCTCTGGCTACTCTTCATTTATTTTGGCTGAAGAGGAAGCTGCCACTTAGGTTATTAGCATCTTGGAAGGTTTATCTCTAAGATCAGCAGAAATGTTCCTGGGCAGAAATCAACTTGGTACAGTGTACGGTTGATGTGTTGTGTCCATCCCAAGTGGCCTGCCCAGGAGACACAGACAGCCCCCCCCTTATAGGCCAAATGCATGCTCTGACCTCCTGCATTCCGGGGAAATACAATGTACATCCAACAAGCTTCCCATTAACCCTGCCTCATCATGAATCCCTCCATCTCACTATCCTACCCCATCCCATGGATGTTATAGAAACCCTTGTCATAGTCTTACCTCTATTTGTTCAGCTCTAGGGGAATACACACATTGTAATGGTTTGATGTGTCTTTAAGGACACTGATGATGGGGTACATATGGAAACCTAGAACTGTTAAGAGAGGATAATGAGAGTGGGGAAAGGCAAGCTAGTCTCCCCCTCTCTATATGTAACAATATGCTGGCCCGCTTGCTATCCTCATCTCTACCCCTCCCCGAACACATACACTCCAAACTCCAAAGAAACAAGCCCATTACTGCACTCTGTTAAGTTATACCTGATGGACAGCCTAATTGGTAGTTGTCAGCATGTTCTGATATAGACCATGCCTCTCTCTAGGTGAAGCAACTGTCTCTAACTACATCTAGGGTAGGGAGGTGGGAGTCTAATCAGAATTGCCCAACATCTAAAACACAGACCTGGCATTACTGAATCACCATTTATGGTGGGTGGGAGGGGGATACATTGCTTCTGGAAAATGCATCTGTCCTCTACACATTTTCTCTAATGATTATGCATGTGCCTTGAGAGAGACAGAGTGGAAATAAAGTCCAAGTACCTATGGCCAAGCGATATCAGTTCATTCACACAGGCATTCATTCAACACCGAGTTCCAAGTACTACACCTTTAATATGTGCAGGTTGTGCTTACCCAAAACACCTTATGAATTCTCCACATTCACCCTTTGCTTTGGGGTCATTTCTCCTCCATGTCAAAGGCTTACAAGGCAGATCTGTTTCCTCTG